CTAGCACTCACATATGAGAAAAAACAGATGACCTGTGTCCATCTTGACCCCTGTCTTACTTTGCTTAACATGAGGACCTTTAGCTACAACCATTTGAATTTCTCATTTTAAATGATGACAGTATCTCAATATCTACATTCTAAGGTCATGTCTTTCCAACTTCTTGTCTTTGCAAGGTGCATTTATTTTTTAATACCCCAAACAAGTGTAAGAATAGGTACTTAGAAAGCTAATATACCAGCATGCCCTCCTTCATCTTACTTATCTCTGTCTCTTGTCTTTTGATAGATGTCACCTATTTGTCCTGTCAATATACAGTTATCAAACCAGTTCCTTGGACTGTTTTTTTTTCTCTCCATTTTTATTTTTCATGCTTTAGACTGAAGCAACAACTGGACTCCAGGAAGATTCAAATTTTATCTTCATTCTTATCATGGCCTGTAGAAAATTTGGGTGATTCAAATTGGGATAGAGTATTTCCAGACATTTATAAGCTCTCATTGATAACAGAGTGATGATCTTCAGAAGACAAACTTCAATTTCCAAGCATATTCTTATAAGGTGTAGGATGACTTCTGTAAAGTTTCTTTAAGTGTTGAAGTGATACAACTTCATTTCTATGTCAGGAATGATAAAAAAGTATCTCTCATTTTGTTTTAGTTGCTTTCCAGCAATGACAGCTTAATTAATTTCACATGCGCTTCAAAATGTGTCAATGTCTAAACACTCCCAGCCATCCTTTTTGCCACAGGCATACAAGAGAGAATGAAAGGAAATAGTCTCAGCTCTGTTCTCACCTGCAACTCAGCCTCAACCACCATGGGTTCCAGCCCCACTGCTTGAAAGTAATCAATATTGTCTCCAACAGTGTCCCACATCTTCTTCATCTTTGCTTTTCCTTTTCTTCTCTTTCTTTCTCTTTTGTCTTCTTTGAAAGAACTAAATTCTATCAGTTGGACAGATTCAGTCTGTCTCTTTCTCTGAGGGGAAATGAGAAGACTATGATTTAAATGAGAAGGCTATTATTTAAATAGCCACTTATTTCAATATTAGAATTGATGTAATGTAAAATATAAAATTGTCACAATTACTCCCTTTCCAAGTTGCTTCTGAATTCATCTGTAAAGTCAACCATTTTGTGTGCTTTTTTTTGACAGATGCCTCTCAAAGTTCTTGACACATTAGAATCAAATTGGATTGAGTCACATGTTTTAGATTTGTCAAGGAATAAAAGGAAAACACTATCCTTGTATCCAAATACTAATAATATATGTACAGATGAAGATGTATTTTGTGAGAATCCCATTTTAAAATGAACAAGGTTTTCTTGATTGTATTAACAATGTGTTATGTGTGTCCATGGTACTAATGAGAGGGACTAGGCTATAGCTCAGAGGTAGACATGTGCATAGTACACACACACACACACACATGTCTGCACACAACACACACACACACAGGAGCTAATGTTACCTTATTTTGCATTCACAGCTCTAGGACAGGGTCAATTGTTCTACTATGAAGGAAGTTTTCCCCAGTCTACAGACACATTTTGTCTAGTAGTCAACGTGATGAGATGACTTCAAAATAAAATGGCTATTACACATTTTTATTATAAAGATGCTGTACAGTTCCATGAGTAAGGTAATGAGTACATTTCTTGTTGAACATTGTCAGCCACTCCCACTCCTCGCCCTCCCCTACCCAAGTTGTGAAGTTCATTTCTGACAGTGTCTTGTGAGTATCATTGTTACCATGGGCCATCTTTTGTCCTTGTTTCAGCATTTTGTTATGCCCCTTCCTTTCCCCAAATGAGATAAATGTACATACAAGACACAAAGTACCAGAATCAAAGACAGTGATTGCCCAGATAAACCAATGGAAAAAGAAAATGAAAGAAGAAGAAAGAACTAGATACAGTACATCAGCAGCAACAAGGTCAATAACCAAAGAATTAATATATTTTAAAAATACTATGGAATAAAAATATGGCAAAGTAGTATCATAGTTTATTTACTTGAAGAAAAGTAAAGTGATTCTTACTCTGGCATCATATATTCCTTATGTTCAAATTTTAATTTCATTCAATTTATGTTCATTGGGCATCTACCTGGTCCTGGGAAGATAATGGGTTTGAGAACCAGACATGGATTCCAATTCTGGCTCTTTCATTCACTGCTAAATGACCTTGGGCAATAATTTTATCTTTCTGAGTTGCAACATTCTCAACTGTAATTTGAGAATGGGGAGATGCCAAGTATTAAATTAGATACTGTCTGGGATATAAAGGAGTTCAATCACAGCAAGTATTTCTTGTGTTTTTGCAACTTCAGCAACACTGGTGTTCGCTATAAGTGTATTTAGTAAGTCTCTGATGCTATTGAATCTTAGAACCAAAAGTTCCAATTGTCAAGTTCCAATTGGACTAGGCTTGGCCACCCTTTTCTGTTTGCTGATTATAGACATAAACATTGGTCAACAGTAGAGAAACGAATCACAACAGCAAGACAAAAGATTCAGTGACTGCAAAATTTTCTTCTGAGTACTGAATTAAACATTAGTTTAAATATGGGAATTCTTGGGGACAGATGCGAGAGGTATGTGTAATTAGAGGTCTCCGTTGGAGACATGCTTCGGTTGATATTTGAGTACTATCTCAGGATGATTGGGTGCCATCCACTCACAGTAACAAAGTGCTATTTATCTGAAAGGCGGCACTGGCTTTTGTCACAAGACCTCTCTGAAGTTCCAAGGTGAGCATGGTGGGTATGGGGAGAGAATTGGAGAGGAAAAAAAAAACATTAAAGCATCAGAGAGGCACAAGAAATGAGGTAGGACCCCCTTCATGAGGATCTATGTGTGAACAGCGCTGTCTTATTTCCAATCAAATATGTGATACTCTATAGTATTCATATTTTTATTCTCCTTTAAATATTGCATAATTAACAGGTGCCTTAGAAATTCTCATAAAGGTTGTGAGTCTCCATTTCATATACGGTCAGTCCCAGTAAATAGTGTATGCTTAGAACTTTGTTAGATAATTCTGGATATGAATTTTCTTGCTGATGTAATTTCCTTAGTTTATTGTTTTAATAAAGGAGTCTAATAAATTAAAATATAGCAATTATAATGCATACTAATTGTAAAAAATTAACTGGGCAAAACGGGAAATTTCACAAAGAAGAAATAGGATACACCAAAAGAACACTGGAATAAAACCATTTGAGAATCCTATCTGTTGGAAATATCACTAATACTATGCATTCCATCTCTCTCAGTAATTAAGTGTTAAGGAAAACAGAGACTGGAGATGTTACCCAAAGTTCAATTAGAAATTAGAGTTCATCAACAAATATCCAAAGGATTTATTTAGTAATCCCTTGGTATGCAGTGGCACTACATGGAAAGTAAATTCTTGTTCATTTGCTAATATTTGGCAAATTGGTTTTGAAGCATTGCTTTGGGATCAATTTCAGAATTGATGTTTTGTCAACAAAACAACCTGTTATACTGATTTTTCTGAGTCTTTACAAACCTGTGGTCACTTTTAATAAGCATAAAAACATTAAGCTCTCATTTAATGGAATTTGAAATTGTAAAAAAAAAACCACTGCAAGTAATTAAATGCATACTAAAGGACTGACAATTTTGAAAACACAATTTGAAATTAATTTGGATCCCAAAGATTCTAGTGTGTGTTTCCCCTGGTTCATTCCCCCTTAAGCCTTGACCTCATTAACTCCAAAGCTTGCGTGCATTTCTGGCCCACAGGGAAGCAAAAATAGACAATTAATTAACTTTAACTAACTTGCATATAGTGGTGCACAATGCCAGAAATTCTCCTCCCCACTACTAATAATAGAGCTCAGTCCCTAACACAAAGTAGAAAAATTGTAATCCATGAACTGCCTTTAAGGGACTGATGACGTGGCGGGGAGGGGGGGAAAGGAAGAGGAGGGGGGTTAACGGAGGTGGGGGAGAGACAGTAATGTTCCATGAGAGGATAATCACTTCCCCAAGATATATATTATATGTAATATTATAAACACACATCTGTTTGTTAAACCTGGAGCCATGGTGTCCACACGTGCCCAGAGCATGAGAGAATACCTTGGTTTTCTGTTGTTAAGCTCAGTGCTATAACTCCAGTCTATGTGTATGTGTCTCTGTTTTTCTCTCTCTCCCTGTTTCTTCTCTCGGTTTCTCTGTCCCTGTCTCTATGATGTTGCATATGGAGAAGAGATGAAAAATTGTAGATATTATGTTTCAATATGTCAGAGAGGACTTGATGTCGTGAACATTGCTCCATCTTTCCTTTTTACAAAGTTTTCTAGTGGCTGCTGGAGAGCATTTCTCCCTCTTAAACTGGATTAACTGGGATTCAACTATTTACAATGGGCATATTGAACAGTTAATACAATCAATAAGAATTTCAAATGTAGGAAATGTATAGATATATGCACACACATATATATTCACACACCCATATATAGCACTTGCTACAAATTGCATTATTATTGATAGGTGTGGATACCTTCTTGTTCCTCACTCTGCATCTTCTTCTTCTTCTTCTTCTTCTTTTTGGTTTTATGCTTTTATTCTTCTGTAACTTTTTGCCCTAACACACAACAAGCAGTCTAAAAGTTAGTGTCCATTTACACTCAAAAAGTTTAAATTAGTGTATGGGGTTTCATTATTACTACAGGTATCACTCAACATAGAGATTACACCTTTTTTCTGAACAAATTTCCTATAAAATTAAATCTTAACATATAAAATTCTATTTCTACTATTTAGGGAAACCAAAAGTGTTCTTCCAAAAAAGCAAGCATACAAACAAAACTGTTGTCTAATGGCATAATAAAATCATATGTAATTACAGCAAATCTTTAAATCAGAAAAACACGGTAATTTCCTAAAGCTGAAAGTACCAGTGACTGTGGCAATAGGATTATTGCCTTCTCTTCTCCACCATCGTCTTGTAGCTCCAGGCCCTGCCACTAGTGGAGATCACTCTGGGGATTTCTGTTTGGAGGTGGTTTTGGTTTCGGCATCTTACTAAGAATAGTAGCCATTTCTTTTTTGTCATCGAAATTCTTCCACTGCTCATACAGTTTTAAAATAACCCTGATTATTTCCAAAATCTTCTCCATGTCCACAGAAAGTTCAGCAAACCACTGTCTGGCATCTTTCTGCTGTTCAACACAGGCCACACGTAGGCAAGCTAGAGCTATCATGAAAGGAAGATACAGTAGGCAAAGATCGGTTCTGTAGGTATCATTCACTATTCTCCATGCAAGGGGAAGCAACGTGTCTTCTTGGTCCATGTCCTGCACATACTGGAGCAAAGGTCTGTAAGGATGATACAATATCAAGCAACAATCCATTAGTTCTAGTAGATAGAATTCACATTCTAATATATGATTCATCTTATAGGGGAATTCCTTTGGGAAGGCATATGAAAATCTAGTTTTCAATACAGAAGTAGCAGCAGCAATCAACCTCGTATTAGAAACCACTCCAAATTCCTCTACTTTGGATGACAAAAAAACACATGTAGGAGCCATTAATACAGGATCTATACTTTTCAGAGAATACCTGGCATAGAATCTCTTGAAATAAATGGTAGCAGTAGCAATAACTTGTTGTCTTAATTTAAGATGTTCACCTAATGCTTGGATAACATTTGTAAAAACTAGTTGTAACTTCCAATACAAGATCTATTGAAGGAGCACCAAAAGGGCTTAAAATTTCTCACTCTGCATCTTCTATGTAATGTGTTATGAAAAATCAGAGACAACATTTAATGAGTCAACTCTTGTCCCCATGTGAAAATATAAATGTATGTGTTTTGTGTTCTGGTAATAACGATCAAATGATTAACATCTTGTAATTATATTTTAATTTACCAGAGTGTCAAATTTTCTACTGTTTGAAAATAGCAGCTCTGGATTGACTATATTTTAGAACTAAAACAAATTTTGTGAAGAGAAAAATATGGGAAACAATTTTAAATAGTTTTCTTGTAATTAAGCTTGAAAAATAAAATACAATATCAAATATGATATTGTGATAGCTAGTTGAGTTTTGCTTCTTTTTGAATTTTGTGCTGGTACTCGGACAAACATTATTGGCTTTTTCACTAAAGGCTGATGCTCTGCTAGGTGAGTCACATCTTCACTTCTGGCTTTTTTGCTTGATATTTGGAGATAAGAGCTTCTCAGATTTATCTGCCTGTGCTGGTTTTTAAGCTCAATCCTTACATCTCATCCTCTAGAGTGGCTGGAATTACAGGTTTCAGCCACCAGTACGTGACTCATTATATTTCATATTCAATAATATCTTGAAATAGGAAATGACATTGGTTTACATTTCGAGAATGAGCAAACTTGATTTCTAGCACATTGCTCTTCACATTGAGAGGCCAATCTCATACTGCATGTGAGATCCAATCTGACCAAAATCCTGGATTGCCTTAGACCCAAGGTTTAGTGGGAAAAATGACTATTTGACTCAAATTTATCCCATTGGAGAGAATCCAAGGACTTATAAGGAAGGACTGTTTTTAAAAATATTTTTAATTGTAAAGATACTGTACAGAGTGGTTACAATTACATAAGTAAGGTAATGAGTACATTTCCTATTGAGCATTGTTACCCCTCCTTTGTTTTTCCCCTACTATCCCTTCATTCTCCACCTCCTCAATTCCTCCCTCCCCCCTGCCCTCACCAGCCACGCCCCTCCGCCCTGCCTAGCAAGTTGAAAAGTTCCTTTTCAACATAATTGTACCACACATTGTTACAATGGGTCAACCTTTATCCTTGTTTCAGTATTTTGTTATTTCCCTTCCCCTCCCCAAATTAGAAAACTGTATATACAAGATGCAGGGCACCAGAATCAAATACAGTGACAACAGGGTTTATACCATGGGGGAAGAACACACAAAAGAAACAAAATATCATAGTATTAAAAACAACAGTGACAAAGAAAAAACCTCTTGTGTGGGTCTTGAGGTTCATTTCCCTTAGCCTCATCTTATATGGTCATATGCACATAACGGTATTTTCTTTTTTCTTTTTTGCTAGTCCTAGGCACTGTCCCTAGCTTCTTTCTTGCTCAAGGCTAGCACTCTACTACTTGAGCTGCAGCACCACCTCCAGCTTTTTCTGTGTATGCGGTACTGAGGAATTGAACCCAGAGCTTCATGCAAGCTAAGCAAGCACTCTACCACTAGGCTACATTCTCAGCCCTGTACATATCTTCTGACCTTTTCTGCTTGTCTAGTAAGATTATCCTAGACATATACTAGTTATTGAAAATAAGGGAAATTATGGGACCTATGTTACTTTAGGTCTGGATTATTTCACTTAATATTTTTTCAAGGTCTTAATTTCTGAATATGTAAGACTAAAAATAACTGGGAAACATTTTACAACTACAAGATGCCACAGAATTTAATCAATATAGAAGAAATCAAGCAATGGAGAAAAGGTCAGTTCTAATGACATTTTAATTTGAACCCTGTGCAGCAAGCTGCACTTATGCCAGTTCTGAGAAGATCCTTTTATATAGTCAGTGTAGGTGTGGTATCTGTCAGATAAAAATAAAACAGTATTTCACCTAACATCAACTTATCTGACCGTTTCTGCTTGCCTCAGACATATACTAGTTATTGCAAATAAGGGAAACCATGGGACCTATGTTTCTTTGAGTCTGGCTTACTTCACTTAATATATTTTTTTCCAATTCTTTCCAATTCCTAACAAATGGGACAATGTCGTTCTTTCTGATGGAGACATAGAATTCCATTGTATATATATACCACATTTTCTTGATCCATTCATCTACTGAGTGGGTATCTGGGTTGGTTCCATATCTTAGCTATGGTAAATAATGCTGAATGTTTTTTCTTTCTTGTTATTGTTTCTAACAGATTTATAAGATGATTTCTTTGTTGCTTTGTATGTCCCTCCCCCACTGCATAACCCCTATTTTCACTGTATTTAATGTTGGTATAATTTGTGGAGGGGATAGGAAAAACCAAATTGCTTAAATAGGATACAGGTGGACCCATTGCACCAATGAGATGTACAAGATGTTGTCGAAAATGAACTTTACAACTTTGGCGTGGGGGAGAGGGGGTGAGAGGGGAGAAGATGGGAAGGGATGGGAAGGGGAAACAAAGGTGGAGGCAACAATGCTTGATAAGAAAAGTACTCATTACCTTGCTGATGTAATTGTAACCCTTCTGTACAGTATTTTCACAATAAAAAATAAAAATAAGAGTATATACTTACAAGCTATAGTTGGAATCAAGATTTTCTCTTTTGTAAATATTTTTCTGAAATATATTACTAACTGAATAAAGTAATAGTCTGGTAAAATTGTACTGCAGTATTCTAAACTAAATTCCAAGTTTTTCCAAATATTTTGCAAGAGTCAAAAATACTCAATATAAATAGATGCATAGGCTTCTAATACATGTTCAGTGTTGAGAAATACAATAAAATTATGATGCTTGTCACCAAGGAACTTTTAAAAGAGATGAAATAGAATATATAAATCAAAAGCAAATGTTCTAAACCTTATAATTAAGTACTTTGGTGAAATACTTCCCCAATGTTTCTATGCCCCTCTTCCCTCAAATAAAAATGATTTGTCCATCACCTGTGAAAGAGAAGATTTACAAACATTTCTAGAAGACTCAGAGAAAGTCTACATGAATTAAGAGTGTGGTAATGTCTTAAAAATAATACCAGAGACATAGTCTCTGAAAAGAAAAACATCGACAAACTGAATTGGTTCTTCCTCATCTTAAAAAAGTGATGTCAAGAGAATAAAATTAAGAATCACAAACTAGTAGAAAAAAATGGAATTAAATATTTGCAAAGGACAAACCTGATAAAGGACTGTGATCCAAAAATATATTAAAAATTTACATTTTTGAAGGAAACAACCAACCAATTAAAAATCAATTTTGTGAAGTGTAGTAAAACAGGCTCAGAAAGACAAAAGACACATTTTCTTTTATATGTGGAAGTTAGCTCTAAATTAGAAATACATATGTGAATATATAGAGTGCCATATGCATATAAAACAAACATAGGAACTCAAGTATGTTGTATTCAGGTGAAGATTCCAGTGGAGTGACTACATTGCACAGCTAACTTAATGAATACCAGGAAGCTGGCGCTTGGAATGTCAAGTGGACTGAGATCTAAGGGAGGGATTAGATGAGTGGAAAGAGGAAAAGTGGGAGAATACAGTCATAATATCCAATGTATATATGTGTGTAGCTATACATATATATACATATATATATATACACACATATATATATATGTATATATATATATACACATATATATATATATATGTAACTAGAAAACTTAAGGGGGTAGGTGGATTTGAGAGAGATGGGGAGGAACCATAAAAGGGGTGACATTAGGCAAGATGCATTATGCTTATAAACTAACATGTTGAATTGTAATCCCTTTGTTCAACTACTTAAGAATTATTTTAAAACATTACCATTGGATGATGCCTCAGTAAGAAACATATCAAATAAGTATGTGAACAGATATTCTACATTTTATGCCATCACCAACATGAGGATAAAAATAGCAGTAAGAGAACTATACATATAGTAAGTAGCCAAAACCTAGAACACTGACACCATCAGATGCTGGTAAGGAGCAATAAGAACTCTGATCCTCTCACAGTGGAAATTTAAAATGGCACATCACTTTGGAAGTTTGGAGGCATCTTACAAAGAAACTTAACATACACTTACCTTACGGTCCAACAGTTACATCCATCCATATTTACACCAAAGAGTTGGTCATTCATGTTTACACCAAAATGTTTACTGCATCCTTATTAATAACTGTCAAAAATTGGATGAGGCCAGTGTGTCCTTTAATGAGTCAATAAACTGATACATCCAGACAATAGACTATTAACTCAATGCTAAACTATGGAGCCATGACAATATATGAATAAAATATATGAAAGAAAATAAAATGGATATTACCAAGTGTAAAAAAGCCTGTTGAAAAGGCTACAATTCTAACTATATGATATGCTGAAATGACCAATTTATGATGATAGTGAAATGACCAGTGTTGCTAGGGTTAAAGGTCTTAGGAGAGTAATAGAGGGAACATAGAGTACATTTAGAGCAGTGAAACTTTCACTCTTTATCATGCTATCCTGGTATCTGCACCAGTATGCGTTCATACCAAACCAGAGCATTCTCAGCACCAAGAGTGGACACTAATTTAACAACTGTGATCTGCACATAATGGTGTGTCAAGAAAGACTAATTAATTATGAGAACTATACTGTCTTTTGGGGAGATGTTGAGCACAGACAGGCTGGGCAAAGGAAGGGCCGGGTGGTATAGAGTAATCCCATTTCTTCCATTCCATTTTACTATTAACCTAATTATGCTCAAAAAGAAAAGTTAGTTTTAAAAGCAAATTGAGAGCAGGAGAATAGTTTGGGAGGAATGCTTGGAAGAACTTCTGCATTTCAGTTAATGTCCTCCCTTTGAACAGTGCTGGTTGAATCTGGGTAAATCCATTTAAGTTTATAATCATGAACATAAATAAACCATACACATTCAGGTCAGCTGTTAGAATGGTTATATATATATGCAATATATGGATATATATTTCACATTGACATTCGTGTTTCTATTGACATTAATCATTATATACGTTCAGACAGAAGGAGGGCTCTTAATATGTAGGCTGGTATAGGCTGTTATAATTTGATTAGCATGGAATAAATATCGCTGCATTTGACAGGCCCCAGGAAAAAAAAGGCACTAAAGATTTCATTTTGAAAGTTTAACATGAACATTTATTTATCATCTTAATTTTAATTTTAATAAGCCATACAGGTTTTTATTACATATTATAGAAATATATATATGCATGTTCTTTCTAAGAAACAGCACAGGCTTGCAATAAAAATTAGTGAGCAGTAAGGAATATTAAGTAAAATATAGTAATAGCATAATATTAAGGAATACAAATAATGTTAAGTTGCATAATTCAGTCAAAAGAAAGTTCTAATTTTATTGCACTGTTCACAATCCCTCCTCCACAACGACGACGACAACAACAACAAATAAGACCACCTTAGCAGATAGGAGCATTTATGATCAAAGTAAATGCTGGAAAATAAGTAGCACCATTAGTCATTAAAGTGATTGTCAACATTTCCAGGAAGCCTAAATAGAGCATTTCTGATTTTGGTAAAGAAAATTGATATGTACCATTACGTTTAGCTGCTGCATTTTTCAGCATTTGCATAGAATGTTCAAGAAAATTAAAAAAATGATTTCTTCAAGATGGAGTATCTGCGGATGTTTCTATATTTTACCTTTAATATAAGCCAGTGAATTCCTCTAGTACACACCCAGACTGAATGCTCTAGCATTCTCTTCATCGTGCAAATTCATAAATTCATTTCAATAAGAAAGTATTCTATGCCTGGAACTTTGCAAGGCATTGAAGTTGTTATTCTAACATTAAGTTAAGTCCTTTTCTACAAGGAGCTCACAGTCTAAGAAGCAAGAGATGAACTGGAAAATATACCCAAAATTTGCAGGCAAAATACATATTGCCACAGAAGAATTCAGCACGTTTTCAAATCAGCTCTGTAGTGACACTCAGGGACAACAGTATATATCTTTCTAGAGCATTTTGCCACAGAACATCACCGTAGTACTGAAAGGCAAGCAGCAGCCAATGAAGCAGTACTTAGACATATTTGCTGAAAAAAGGAATCAGGAACAATTGCATTGATCAAGAACACAATATATTCCTGATTTAAATACATCCACATAATACTTAGTTAACTGGAAATACGTATTTGTGTGAAAAATGACACCTATTTTTCATTTTTGGTTACTTTGTTACACATCTTATATACTAAGTGCAGAACTGCTTCGTATTAAAAAAATTCCATAAATAAATATGTCAAGATCTAGTCACAAACACTGTAAATACATTCATCTGTTAGAAGGCAAACACAACAGTTCTCTATTTGCAGACTCTGACAGGCATTTAAATGGATTATTTCATAACTTGTGTTACTTTTTGAAAGAATGACATAGTAGAACCATGATTTAGGTCCTATAAAATAAACTGACTGGACCATCCCTCCAGCATCCTCCAAAATTATCTTTCTCTTTATTTCACTATCAAAGTAAGTACACATTGTAGTGGAACTATGTAGGGCCCTGTTCAGGGGCAACACACCTTCAAACTCTTACAGGAAGAGATATTCTCAAGTCAGACCATGGCAATGATTCCTCACATTTTGTTTTTACTTTAAGAAATGAACACAGCTTTCAAAATAAAGCATCGGTGTACACAGAAAAGCAATTGATGGAATACTGACACATTTCTATTAACACAGAAATAGATTGGATATTATTGACTTTGAAAATACTACAATGTGTGCAAAATAATTTAGTCTAATAGTTATGGCCCCTTATTTGCACACTGCACTAGGAATCAGAAAATGATTTTCAAATCAAGTCTAGAAATGTGATTTTTGCAAAGCATGATTAGAGAACACTCTTAGAGTATAAGGGATATGCCATTATTCCATATGTGGTTCTAGGAAGACATTTTAATCACTGTTTGATAAGCACTACCAACAGGGTAGCTTAAGCAGGAAAACAGCATAAGAGCATATTAGTAGTCAGAAAGAGCTGGCTTCTGTTTGCAACCCTGCATTTACTCAGAGGACTGACATGTTTAGGCAAAGCCCTTAATCTGGTCTGATCTAACAGTGAGAAAACTTGGCTATTTAACAAAATATAGCTTAGAGGGTTGAGAAAATACAATGAATTAATTAAATATTTTCATACATGAATATATCAAACAATACAGTATGAATCTATATATAATGGTGTCTAATGCTCAGAACATCAACATTCTAATTCACATGGCTTATGTCTCACAGAATCCAGAAATAATCATACTTTACTTAGAAAGAAATAGAAGAAGAAAAAATCAATTAAATACCCTGTCAGAAATCTTTGCATTACAGTAATGAACAAGTCATATATAAACTAGATCTAGCAAAATATCTATTTTAGTAGTAGTGGGGTTTCAATTCAAGGCCTCATGCTTGCTAGGTAGGCACTCTACCACCTAGCCACATCTCCAGCAAAAAACTCATTTTACGGTCACATGGAAATATAAAAGCAATGCTAAGTAAAACAACAGTAATAGCCCAAAACAAGACACAATGAAAGTCTCAGTCATAAGTATGTTTTAAAATTCCATCCTGAACCTATGAGATAAAAATCACATTCTTTCGTCCTAAAAAAGAACTTTTCACCAACATAGAATGCTTTCCTAGAGTGTTCTCTCAGTGATTTTCATGCAGAGATTTTCTAGCTTATTTTGTCAAATTGAAGTAACACAACGAAACAAAAAAATTGCTTGATCAAGTGAAGAAAAAATACTTCCTTTAATGTTAATAAATTTGCGATCAATGACTATTGGCCTACTGAATTACTCTTGAATATTGCTCACATAACAACTATGTGAGATGACTGGAAAAAAATGTTGATATCATGCTAAAAATCAAAGTGCAGCTATAACCTCAAAGACTGATAAATTCTACATTAAAATTCTCCATAATTACATGAAAATATTCTTAAGGGGAAAAATGAAATGAACACAATTTTTTTAATAATTGTAGCCAAAAAGGGAAGGAGGGAAGACAAGGCAGCCAGAGTTGGGGGAGGAAGAAGCACTGGGCCTAAAACTATCCATGCACTCAACAAAAGGCAATATTTGATTTAGTGAGACAGCACCCCACTATGTAGTACAGGCTGGACTTGTACTCACAAGGTAACCTAGGCACACCTGGAAATCATCCCCAGCTCCCCTAGTGCAGGGAGAACAGGGCTCACTGCCATATCTGCTTAATTTTGCTGTTATAGAAGAAACTCTTTTAAATTGTCTTTCATAATACTAAAAATTAGTAAGTTATTTGCCATCTTTCCATAAAGTGATGAAAAAGACTACCTTGTGAAGAACTAATTTTGATTGTGAATGAACAAAAAAATCAGAACCATAAAAAAGATATGAATTCAGAAAAGTTCATCTTTTAATTATATCAACAAAGATATGACTTTGATTATAAAAGCATTGTAATCAACTAGTGATAATTGGGACTCAGAGCCTAAGTGCATTTTTAGATTTTCAAATATGTTGATGATTTTTAAAAAAATCCTTTTTTTTAATGAGTGAGAGAAGTCAAAGTTTTAGTCTTTCATATGAACAGTTTTAATGATGGGTTGAAGACTACTGTAGTGAGAGAAATTTACTGGGCATTATATGTCTGAGATGTCATGAGACATTGAACATATATGACAATGGCCAATGGTAATATTGCAAACTCCATTTCTCAACATTGTTAGGCACCTTAAGAATACTAGAAACATTCAGCATAAGTAAGTGCCACAAGCAGAGTGTTGGCTTTTTCAGATTCCTTAGACTCACATTCAATTTCTCTTGCACAAGGAAAATTTACGCTGACGTAAAACTCTTTTAGCATATAAACATCTCCCTATCTAGGAAGCTTATTGTAATTTCAGAAGTTCCAGTATTTGTAATAAGTAGTCATGGTTAAAATTACATATGGTTGGCTTTACTAAAGCCTTTGTTATAGAATACAAAAAATTAAGACCAGACATATCATGGATCAAGAAAACGGTGCACCTCTTCAACAGAGATAAGGAAAGTACATTTTAAAGACTTCAAATGTCTAGACAAAAGCGATAATGGATTTAAAAAACTTAAAGAACAATATAGATGTTCAGAGAAACTTGAAATATGAGAATTATGGGAAAACTGTACTGATTAAATAAAATTATGCATGGGTATTTGATGAGGTAAACAATTTTAAATCTCAAAAAATATTTTATGGTAGCATGGGATAAGCAAAAAAGTGGGATGGTGCCTGAATTTCTACATCTAATGTATTACAGTCTCTAGTTCTTATTTTTGTACAATTATAAATAATCAATATAGGACTCTCTTAGAATAACACTTTCCTTTTAATCCAAATTTAGGGCAAGTGTGTTTATGCATGTGTCACATAAATGTATCATTATTTTGATAATAAGAAAGTTTTATTAAAGCAATTATGACTAGTTAATAACTAGTATTATTTGGGATAATTTACATTCACCACAAATGCAGATAATTTAAACTTAATTTCATTTATAGCAAATGCAGTCTCTAAAATATACTAAAATCATAACACAAATTTCAGTTAAATCTAATCTATTTATCATGTAGTGTTTACAGGTTAGTATCTCTATTTTTATCAACTTGGGGCTCTTGCATGTGTATGGGGAGGTCGTTCCCACTTTTAGATAAACCTGAGTTAAAATTTTGCTTCAGGCCCACTCTATTTTGTACTGTATGGGGATTTTCTGAGCATCTTAGTACAGCAGATTTCTGTTTTCCTCCTTCCTTACATCATTAATAACTTTCACCTCAGCTTTGGCTTGAATTCTAAAAGATATGATGTAAACAACATTCATGATAAAGAAATAATAGTCTCCCCTTTTCATCCCTTTCTTCCATTCATTTAAAGCCTAATATGGATCATTTTTATTTTATTTTACTAATGGTCTGAAATATTCTAAGGATGAGAGGGTATTTTTGAAGATGTTTGAAGTAAATTTCAACTGGTTGATCAATTATTTCCACAATTTTATAACCTCTGTATAACATTTCTCCCTCCCTGTCTCTTTCTTTCTCTCCCTCTCCACCCTCCAATCTCTTAAATAGTGTCTCACTAAGTAGCCTAACATAGTGTGGCACTCACAATCATGAGCCTCCCTGGGCCTCTGGAGCCTCTTGAGCCCCTGAGTGCTGCAGTTTCGTATCATGAGCCATCATGCCCGGATCTTTGTTATGCTTGATTGTTGTATTACACAGAGGAAGATGAGCTGAAAATAATTGTAAGGTGCACATCTGAACAAATCAAAGCTAAATGTTTTACTTATTGGTCCTGAGTATGTACCATAAAGTTGCTGGAACTTGTAACTAGGGAAGTCAGATATGAGTGACATGATTTTGTCTGAGATTTTTATGCATAATGTGAAGCACATCAGACTCCCTTCCTGATTGGACACAAAAATGATCCAGAAAGAGAATGGGGATGGCCCAGGACAAGTCCATACTCAATGTTCTATTCAAAAATTGTTAAGGAATATTTAAGGCTCAATAGTGAAAAAATCTGGGGTGCTCACAAATAGCAGCACACGTAAATTAGGTAGTGATTATGAATTATTTGGGCATTTTACGACAAATTTCCTTTCATGAAATTTCATAATGGAGAATGGGGCTTAGAAATTCTAATGGTATGATTTGGCTTTGTGTTTTGAATGTTTAAAATCTGGTGTGCTTTAAGAAAAAACATATGTTCAGCACTAATTACGCAGACATCGCTACAACTATGTTTCTCCTTTTACTTATATGACTATACAATAACAAAAGTTCTAGGTCAATATGTTTTTCTCAGTATTTGAAAGATTCCCTTAAAGCATCAAATCCTCCCTGAAGTGCAAAGGGTAAGAAGAATAAAGAAGTAATTTATAATAGTGTTGGAGCAAATCTGAACCTGATTTATGTTGCTATTTCCAGTCTGTATGGCTGCATTTTTCATCATGTGTGTGTGGGAATTAATACGTACGTGTGTGTGTGTGTGTGTGTGTGTGTGTGTGTGTGGTGTGTGTGTGTGTGTGTAACTTCATGCTGGGCTACTGTCATGTATGACTGTGGCTGACATTCCTAGCTGTGAAACTGCATTCTCCTTTTCTAACAAGTTAATAGAGTCCACATTGGAATTGAAGAGTTAATAAGGCAACCAAAGAACAGCAAAACAACTGTAAATTTGTTTGACTTGATTCTTCAGTAAGTACATTAACTACTCCCTAGGTCGAATCCATCATGCGGCATGTCCTCTACTAGCAGTGCTTGGAAAGGATCAGGTTACAGCCCTACACCTAAAACCTTTTATTTTGTTCTTTGTTTCTTCTAGGGCTTACTATCTGTATTCTGTGTGAAGGATTTTTTAAAAATGATTATGATTGGAGGGATGGTATACAACATTGCTTTTCTTATGACAAGTCTAGTCAGAGCTGAATAAAAAAGCACTAATCATACAAAATAGCTAATTCAAGACTGGATGAAACAATAAAAAAAACCCAACTATATACTCTCCTATTTTTCCTGATTCATTTACTTATGATATTGGCACATCTTATTTTATTATTTGAAAAATACAAACATCCTTTCATACGCAAAATAAGCGAATGTTAAATGAAAAAAACTGGTATTTTATATGAATGTTATATATCTTATATTGCTTCTTAAATATCAGCAATATAGATAGTGCATAACTTTTGTGAATCAAAATAAAATCCTTTACGTTAACTATTGCAAAAGTTTAGTATCCAGGTACAATCTCATGAGAAATAAGAATAGTTCCTGCTTCTACTATACTGTAAAAGAAAAAAAATGAACAGCAGAATTTGTTGGCTATCGTAAGAGTAATATCACTCCAGAAAGCACTAGGTGCTTTTTATTCATCATAATATTAAACTTCGGATTCGTAAGTATAAATATTGGTAATTTTTCTTATGGTATTTATAAGTTTTCAAAGCCAGGACCAGTCAAGTATTCGAAGGATTCCAATTTCCAGATGGTTTCATGTAGTTAAGAAATAAGTAATTGCTAAATTATCCTGGGTTGCCATATTTGAAGCTCCTTACTATCCATGCCAAGTCACACAAACAGCCATAATTTCTAGAAGCCTTTTTCAGTTGCCTGGCTATGCTCTCAGGCAGAGGGAAGTATTGCCAGTAGAGGGCAGAATTTTCAAATGTTGCCCTTCCTGAAAGGCTAGGCATCTTCAGTGGCTGAGTAAAAGGCCTGCTTGTAGTTTGTTTTCTGTTTTTGCTTTCTAGGGAAGGGAGGAAGGAAGCTGAGCAAACTCTAAGCTCGCTCAAAAAGAAAAAGAAAACATCCTTTATCAGCTGAACTTGTATGTATTACTATTCTTAACAGTAACTGCATCACTGCTATGTGTGGGAACAAACAGGATTTGGTCTATTTATATACCTGTTTTACTATAATTCAAGTTTATTCTCTTGGTATTTCAGTGCAACATTGAATCTGGATTGAGGACTAGTTAAAAGAGACAGTGGTTAAAAGAAAAAGAAAGAAGGCTATTTTTTTATTATTTTCTAGATTAAGCACTATATTTTTTTCTAGTCAGTAGATATAGTTCAATGCTAGAGGTCATTCAGACTTGTTAATTTGATTAGCACATTAGGTAAGTGACATTAGGTAAGTGACGACTTGGGGTTGGTTCTGGTCTCTAGCACTGACTACTAAAGGTGATACTCAAGGAAATAGTGTGCGTGGATCCATTGGGTCTTAAAGTGCTCAGAAATGATGGTACAGGAATGGATCTACTTATTATTTTACTCCCGCCTATTTATGCAAATTTTCTTTTTATAGAATCAACTGTGCTATAATTCATGTGCAGATCTTTAAAATCCACATTGTAAAACAGCATACAAATGTGTTTCTTTTGTATCCTTGGATTTTGTTTCCCCTAGAAAATGACAATGGTAATTTTTTTTAATTCATTTATCTCATTTTTACAAATGATCTGTTCACATATTTCTGTAATGGGGTGGGTGTGTGCATGCGTGCGTGTGCGTGTGTGTGTGTGTGTGATGAAAGAAATAATTCCTCTCAATTCTATTTCACATTTTTTATGTCAACTAAAAACTGAACTGTGAAGAGGTTTATTATATGAGATTAAACCTAATTTGAACTAATTGCCCAGGAGTTTTGGATCCAGATCTTTCTATAACCAGCAATGGAAATTACTGAAAGATGTTCAAATTCTTCTTTTAACTGCCACATCGTGCATCAAGGAATGGCAATGATGCACTTCATGAATTCTTTGTGTAGATAATCTCAAAACTGAACTGCCCAAGTATTTTTTTTAATTTATAGTTGTCATTCTGTTCTTGTGACTCCTGTTTCCACACATGCAAAAAAAATCTTTCCAATAGTTTAAAAAAGAAAAACAAACTCCTATAAACAGAAAAATCAGAGAGGTGATTCTTATTAGATATTAGTTTCTCTTTCTGGCAGAACATTCCCTGGTTTGGATATTTTGACGGTAACTTCATCTTGTGGAGCTTTGCTCAAGGGCTCAGTCTCTCGGGACTCAGGAGTATTTGTCTTCTTCCTTTCCAGTTCCTTCTTCCTTTCCTTATCAAGAAGTCTGTAGTTGATGGCATTGCCAATGAGTAGCCATAAGCTTGCAATTAACACGATGGCACCGCTGGCTATATACATGTATTTATAGTCTCCAGTTATATCCACCAACTTACCTATGAGACAAGGAATACTCTTTTAACATAGTACAGCTACTAAATGATAAAGCTTTTATATAAACCCTTCCCCAAATTGCACATTTTATATTTATATCAAATTACTATTGATCAAGGAAAAATATTCTAGTCTAGGTCACCTATAGATGTTTGGTAAAGGTATATAAGGCATCTGTAGCATTATGAATACATTCAGTTTATTAAGAAATAACCCCTCACCCAGTACAAAAAGAAACTGGGCATCTGTGTGTTTATATCCTCAGAAATAAGTAGAAGAACGGGCTATGTTTCCATACCCATGCATAAAGATAGAGATAGATTTACAGCATAGCTATTGAGATTCCTTTGTCTTATGCTTTTTCTCTTCGAAAAAGAGGAAACAAGTGCATTCATTGTTTAAGAAAGTCTCAGAGGCTTTCAGATAGTCCCTAACATGGCTTAATGTTGACGGAATGTCTAGTATTTATCACTTGGCTGAGCACTTTGTCATAAGACCTCTTTGATCCTTATGATCTATCACCATTTTGAAGTCATCAGACCATAGTTACAGTCAGTGCATGACAGAGTCTATTACTATAATAGAGATCTCTCTGCATCACACTATTGTTCACTACTCTGCAAAGTGGCTTCACCAAGCATCCTAGTTAAGTGCTCTGCCATTTTCTGGGAAATCACAGGCTTTACTATGTCAATAGTATTGAGGCCAAAACCATCAGGAAAGACCTGTTTGTTCTGTTTAACCATTGAGACCATTTAAGAAAGAGCCTAGTGCCATAGCATGGAGGTTAGAACAGATAGGGAAGAATGATGAAACAGGTGATGTTTGTCAAAATACATTGTACTCACAAACTGCCAGGTTAAACTGAAACCCCTTTGTACAACTACTAAACATATATATATATATATATGCATTGTATATATGTGTGTATAAACATTTCTAGCTAATACTTAGTTTTTCTTAATTTTAATAATTATATGTGCAAAATTTGATGCACACACACACAGTGTGTGCAAATGTCTTATCAAATGCATTCTAAGAGGCTCCAATGTAGAGCTTGGAAGTCCGTGTCTTTAGTTAAGATCCTCTAGCATTCTGACTAGAGTGTTGTCAGTTGCTTCATATTCAATTTAGCTGCTTACAACACTTACTATTTAAATAATATTGTTAATTAGAAGAGGATAGAATAAGCTTGTTTAACTTCACAAGACATAAGCATAATCAATATTGCATCATTTTTGTTTTTCTAAAGTTAGTGAACATTTCTGTTCCTACAATAGTTGTTTGTAAATGCGCACAGTCCAGTGTGGACTACAAGATTCCACACCCTTTACAAATGCAGTGTCACTTCTTTATCCATGGAGATGGATAAAGATCTTGAAAATTGTGCTACTAGTTATAAATCTCACCTAAATTCTCAAGCTAGATTAACGAAAGTTCTTATTACATGGAACCAGACTATAAAAAAAATTAGTCTTAAAATCGACTAAGTATGTGATTTTTAAAATAAGTGATTAAATCTGAAATTAAACTGCTCTGCGGACTTGTAGGTAATTAGGATTACACAGGTCACGTGATTCAATGTAAAGAGAGCCTCCGTTAATGAATGGTTGCATCTTGGTGTTGCTTTCCGTTCTGAGAAATATTCTTACCAGCAATAGGAGGGCCAAGCAGAACTGGGCCACATTCTATAATGGTGGTTAGTCCCACAGCACTGGAAAACTTGGTCGCACCCACGAGGTCCATGAGAGTTTCAAAGAGAACGCTACTAACACTTCCAAATCCGTAGCCAAAAAACACGGCATAGAGCACTAGCGTGGTGTAGGACTGGGCCAGAGGGCACAGGAGGTGGCATAAGCCGTTGAACATGACCGCTAAACTTAAGAAGTACTGGATCCGGGGTCGGACCAATTTGGAGTTTGCAATCAACCCTCCAAGAGGACGAGCAAACATATCCACAAAAGCCATCACAGACAGCAGAAATGCAGCTGAGTACTCATCTATTCCCCTGTCTTTCGCATAGGGAGCCAAGAAGATAACGGGAGCAAAAAATCCCAGAAACATAATAACATTTCCAGATAAATATATCAAAAATCCTCGGTGCTTGAACAGGGATAAGTCTAAGTATTTATTGATTTTTTCGCTTGCTGATTTCTTTGTTTTGGTCTTCTGCATACTCGGATCTTCTTTGCTTATGTCAGTCTTATTTTGGGGCTTAGTTTGTTTGGGGCCAATAGGCCTCATGAGAGCCCCAGCCACACAGGCATGCAAAAATATAGCTGCTAAAATCAAGAAGCCGCCTTTCCAACCGTAAGTATTAGAAAGGAACTGATTGAAAGGAGCCAATGTACTTAAGAAAACAGGACTTCCGGCCATGGCCAGCCCATTTGCAATAGGTCGTTTCATATAGAAATATTTGCCAATTATTGTCAAGGCCGGTTGCAGGTTGAAGGCTAAACCTAAACCTGAAAGGAACAAGACAAAAGGGAGAGAAAAGAAATACAAACATATTACGCCATTCACAAAAAGACACGAATCTTCAATGGGTCTGTTCAAGTGGAAAGGGAAAGCCACAAAGACAGTAACCGGGAGTAAGGATTAAACGGTCCAAGTATAAATGTAATTATAAAACACTAAAATGGTTTCTTGGACACCCAATATGCCTGCTGTTTATTTCTTCAATTTAAAGTATAAGGATAAAAGCAATGTATAAAAGAAAACCATAGGATTGAATGAAAGGAGGATAAAAATATTAGTTATTAATTAAAATCAATTACTTTCACAAATCATCCCAATTCATAATAGATAACTTCATAGAGTCAGTTCATTAAAATAAACTCATGATATAATTTTGCTTCTCTGTCAAGAACAATGAAATTCAAAAATGAAAAAAAATGTTTTTAGTTGCACAGCTGATATAACGTGACCAGACCAAGATGATTGTAATTTATAGCAATCTTGAATTGTCCCACAGATATTTCTCTCAAAAAATCATGAAAATAATTTTAATAAGAGTATTATAAATTTGTGCTATTAATTTCTTGCTTTGCATTCCTTACATTCCAAATTCAATGTGTATACATACACACATTTGCTAATTAAATAAGATTTTGTTTCTTAATACTGCTTGCAAGATACATTTCAGGGATTAAACCGGATGGTTTGTATAAGCCACAGTTCCAACTATTTAGGAATTATTTTACAGTGTTGAGTTTTGCCTTTGAGACACAAATTACGTCTTGCATTTCACCAAATCACTATTTAGCAATAGTAATGAATAAAGTCCTTTAAAAAGTGCATAAACTGGGTTTATATCAGCCACTTCTTTTTTACTTTTACCCTAGTTATTATTCTGCCTTATTTCAGGGAATAGAGCCATAAGAATGATTGGTTTACTAATTTACCTACATTGAAAAAGTTTTGCAAAGTGGTGAAGTATTCAAGTGTTAGGGAATACAAGTTTATACTTACTCCAACCCTTTCATATGAACATTGTTTATGAGTAGAATGTCTCTACAAGCTGAGAAATTGAAAACATACCTCAACATACCTGCAAGATGTAAAACACTTAGTTAATAAAACTGACCAGCCTTTGGTTAAGTAGCTTGTAAATGGAAGACCCTAAGGTAGCACCCAAGTATTATGTTTCAGAAACTATCTGTATCTTTATCTTTTACTCTCCTACCCTACGCTAACCCTAGGAATTTGGGTCTTGTGCCATCTGTGGTCATTTCATTTTCATTTGGCAGGAGCTCCCATCTATTTCACTTTCTGACTTTGTAAAATAAATGTAATGCTTGAAATCAGTGGTTGCAACTCTGCCCTGGCTCATGTGTTTATTTGTCCTGCACTTCAGATTTCCTCAGCTCCAGTTCACTTGCCAACAAAAATGTGCATTGCTGAAATGGAGTGAGTTCCAGAATGACATGATGTTATATAAGTGTCATTATGATTACTGTTTGCTAATTTAAAAAAATTAACTGCAAAATGCTAGATAAAACATTTTGTACTTTACTCATTCAACATCATAAGAGAGCAATTATCATTTGCCCTAAATCATAGACAATGGGACAAGAGGTGTAAGGATGCTAACATAGCCAGGATCACACAGGTAGTATACACTGAGCCAGGTTTGACAGCTAAGTCTATTTTCAAAAACCCTCTTGGATTGATACAGCTCTTTCCTCTAAAAGTATCAAGCCTTTCTTAGACCCACAGGAATGACACTATAGGTGGAATTAATTCTATTGATACCTCTGGTATTGAGAGAGTAAAATCATCTTCTATTATATCTTGCTCTGGTTTTTATAGTCAAATTCAATGTGGTTGGAATGCTTAAAAAATCAAAGGTCCTTCCTGCCACTCAGACCCTTCTTAGACGAGATTTTCATTTATAAACATCAAAAAGTATCTTGCTATACTCAAAAGGCAGAGAGATGTAGTTAGGGAATAAAGAGAAAGACTTTTTTATCATTATTATGATGATATGTATCTTTTTTCTATTTTTGAAGCCCAGTTTGGCCTTAAATGCCAATTCTCCTGTCACAGTCTTCCTGATGTTTGGATAATAAGCATGCCCCCCTCTCTCCAGATTACTGCTGACCTTAATACATCTTTTTTTTTCTCTCTCATCAAATGAATGTAAAGATAGAGTGATCGAAACTTTCAAATGGAAAAACACTACTATTTATTCATCCATGGACATTGGGACAAGATTAAACTACTTTAATGTACAAAAATCCAATTTTTTCCTTTAAAATTTGAAGATATAATTTTTAAAAGGGATTTTACTGTGCACATAAATAAAAATAGTGCTTTCAAAATGTACAAGTTTTAGGTGTGTTTGAGAGAATCACTGCTGTGCATGAGATAATGGAAATAAAGTGGAAGTACATCATTTTGAATACTTGTGTTCAGTGAGAAACAGCCTCATCAAGTTTTCCTTACTGAAGAAAAACTCGGGTCAAAGCTTACAAGCTCTATTTCAAGGAACAGTATATTCTTGTTGTTGTTGTTGTTGTTGAAGTTAAAGGAGCATATCTAGAAAATACCTCTTTCATACCATTTTAAATATATTATTGGTGCTAAATCAGACACTCAGAAATAGGGTAAACAATGAAAAATGAGTTTGCTTTTTAAGAAATCATATTAGGAAATCTGTTCACAATCCAACTTCAACTGGCTTGAAGGGCAAAACAGTGAAGAAATGAAAATAAAGCTGTTTTCATTCCATTATTTATATGATAATCTATAATTATCTGATCTGACCTTGGAAGTGAAATGTTTGGCTATGCCATAGATAATATTCATATGTACTAGATTTTAAAATAGTTAACAGTAGCACTGCTTTTAAATACAAACAAGACAATTTATCTGTTGTTCTTTCTTTCTAGGGAACTTTAAGAAAAGTGTTAAGAAGATCTTGAGCCAGGTGCTACTGGCTCTCGCCTGTAATCCTAACAACTCAGGAGGCTGAGATCTGAGGATTGCTATTCCAAGCCAGTCTAGGCAGGAAAGTCCATGAGATTCTTGTCTCCAATTAACTATCTGAAACCTGGAAGAAGAGCTGTGGCTCAAAGTGATAGAGCACTAGCCCTGAGTGGTAAAGCTTGGGGATAGCACCCAGGCCCTGAGTTCAAGTCCCATGACCAACAAAAAAGAAAAGAAAATCAGCTGAACACCAAACATAGCTTACCTCCGATGAAGCCCACGGTGAGGTAAAGCTGTATTACACTGTTACAGAAGGAAGCCAGCACCATTCCCAAACAGCATAATAAACCTCCAACTATCACCACTGGCCGGCTGCCATATTTATTCACCAAAATACTACTGATGGGACCTGAAGAGAAGATATTAAGAAATATTCAGTTGCATTTCAGTTCATTTCTTTATCCTCAATATGTGTTAATTTTGAAAGCTGAGAAATCATGTTTCAATGATCAAAGGAAAAGATTAGTTTACATGGAACATAAAGAGGACTTTTCAATACTTAACTATAATTGGTTTGATAATTACTAGTAGTAATAGTAGTAGCAGTAGTAGTACCATTATTTTATGTGGATGCTGGGGCTTGAACTCAGGGCTTGAGTGCTGCCACTGAGCTATTTTGATCAAGGCTAGAACTCTGTCATTTGAGCCACAGCTCTATTTCCAGCTTTTTTTTGTTTATTAAAGATTAGTCTCACAGACTTTCCTGCCTGGGCTGGCTTTGAACTGTAATTCTCAGATCATAGCCTCCTGAGCAGCTAGAAGTACAAGCTGGGTTATTATTGTGTTTTAGTTCTTGAGCCAGCCAGAGTCCTACTGTGTTGTCTGGACAGAGACATTAAGAAATTCTTCTGCCCTGGCCTTCCAATTGCCTTCCAATTGTTGGTTATTTCTGATCATATAAGAATGTACATGAGATAATAAACTACAAGTCTCTAATATATAGCTTGTTATGATTATCACCATTGAAATTTAATATATATTTTTATTGTAAAAATACTGTACAAAGGGCTTACAGTTACATGAGCAAGGTAATGAATGCACTTCCCCTTTGTTTTTCCCCCTACTGTACCTTCCCTCCCCATCTCCCCAACTTCTCCCCTCACCAAGCTCTAAAGTTCATTTTCAACATAGTGTCTTGTACATCTCATTGTTATAATGGTTCACCCTGTATCCTTATTTCAGCATTTTGTTATTTCCTTTCCCCTCCCCAAATTAGAAAAATGTATATACAAGATGCAGGGGACTGGATCAAATACAATGAAAACAGGGCTTATACCATGAGGGAAGAACATACAAAAGAAACAAAAAAAATCACCCAGTACATTATAAGTACATTAAAAACAACAGCAACAAAGACAAAACCTCTTATGTCCCTATCTTGGGGTTCATTTCATTTAGCATCATCTTCTATTTTGGGATATTGATAAGTATTGCGTTGAATTTGTAGATAGCCTTTGGCAGTATTGCCAGTTTCACATTGTTAATCCTCCCAATCCAGGAGCATGTGAAGTTTTTCCACTTCCTTAGTTCTGCTTTAATTTCCTTGTTCAGGTTTTTAAAGTCTGCATCATAGAGGTCCTTCACTTCTTTAGTTAAATTAACTCCTAGATATTTTATTTTTTGTGGGGCTATTACGAATGGAATTGCTTTCCTGATTTCAGCCGTGCTTTTCTCATTGTTGGCATACAGAAAAGCCATAGATTTTTGAGGGTTAATTTTATACCCTGCTACTTTGCCAAAGTTTTGGATCAGCTGGAGTAACCTGGGAGTGGAATCCATGGGGCACCATTCAAATTTTAATGGAAAAGATTCTAAGACACTGCTTTTACTTCAAATTATTTTAGAAAAACAATGTTCTACATTAGGCGGACTTTCCCAACATCTGTTTATGTCAGTTATAGGTATGAGGGTAGCTATCATAGCTTTTGCATACTTGAATTTAGATATTTTCCCATGACTTGTGTGGTCCATGAGTAATCCTTCTAATGGTAATCAATCATTTTACAAAGCATTTGAAATAGACATATGAAAATAAATTTTGACTTTTACCTAAACAATCTGTTGACAGATCTGGAAAGTCAAGAAAGTAGCAACATCAAACATTATAGAATATGTGGAGTAGTTAATGTGAAATTGTAAAATTGGATCTCTTTTAGGACATGTTACCTCACTGGCAAAGACAACATTTTGTGTGTGAATGATACATATTGAGGACTGAGTCAGATACTGAATGAGAAGAAGTTTAGAAATGCTTTAGCCAATTTATTTAGCCTATCATTTTCCAATCTGTATGTATTTCTGTGTGTGTTTGTGAATGCATGTGTTTGTGTGCAACTATAAAAACAATCAGGAGTGACTAAATCATTAAAATCATCAAAACTTCATTAAATCCAACAAAACTATGTGTCACAAAACTAATCTCTCTATATAACAAAGCATTACATCTTACTTTAGCAGAATTATTTCCTGTCTTGAAGTTTCATAAAATAGCAGCTCAAGGGCTGGAAGGTGGCTCAGTGGTAGAGTGCTTGCCTTGCATACATAAGGCCCTGGGTTCGATTCCTCAGCACCATATAAGCAGAAAAAGCCAGAAGTGGCTCAAGTGGTAAAGCACAAGACTTGAGGTGAAGAGCTGAGGGACAGCACCCAGGCCCAGAGTTCAGGACCCATGACCAACCAAAAAAAAATAGCAGCTCAACATTTTAATAATTAAGCTTATCTGAGATTCAGTAAAAAAAAAAAAAACCCACATTATTTTATATACCCTATCAATGTGTCAATGGTTGCTTTGATATTTTTTCCATAACTTAAAATTCTATGTCATCTGCAACTAAAGACATTACTTCAAGGAAAATAAATGCCAGGTGAGATCACAATTCTCAGACCAGAATGGTCTGGAAAAAAAATATGTGTGTGTGTGTGTGTTTTTACCTAATAATGTAACTTAAAATTTTATTAAATACTATCCTGTGCATTTGGGAATTATCTACATGGATAGTATTTAACACATATAGAGTTTCATTCACTAAGATGCTCATATTGTTCCATGCAACATAACTATTAATAACATAATTTTAGAAAGGTAGAAAGTTATCACTCCAGAACAGAATACAAAATTTTGTGTTTGAAGTAATGGACATAATTATACACTGAAAGGCCATTTGAAAGAGAGCTCTAATCAATGGGTTGAAAAAAAACTCAAAAAGAGTTGTGCAAGGTTGGTGAAAAGAAAATTTTGCCCTTAATGGAGCACTCTCCCTTGAAGAGCTATTAAGATAAATTATTCATAGTGTTATAATAACATATACATATAGTTTAAGAAATTGCTATCCTCATTAAATACACATAGATAAATTAAAATCGTTTTGAGTGAAAAAAGTCATAATAAATTTGCTTTGATTAATTATTAAATTTAGGTGTGGATGTTTCATAGTATTCTATCTCTGTTCCTTTCCTCAAAATTACTTAACTCATTCAATTTAATTTAGTTTAATTGAATTCAATTCAATGCTCCATGTCTTAAGCTCTTTGTAAAGAGGAGTTAATTCACAACAAGAAAAAAAATAATAAAGCCCAGCCATAATCCTCAATGTATCATCGTAAGAGATCAATGTAAGAAGTGAATTTTAAGAACTGTGACATACATTATTATGAGTAATAAACTGAGAATGGATTCACAAGCATCATTAATCAATTATTTGGACTAGTAAAAAGGAGATATCCTCAAGTTTATTTATATTACATAGTCCATTTTCTATGTGGTGACTTTAGTACAAACAAATGGGCATATAGCATAATTAATTACTATATAAATGTGATTGCCTAAGTTGCATAAATTTAAAATTGAGCCTAGTCTATTAATCATACTATAACTTACAGCATATGGCAAATAATTATATCTATAGGCCAAGATAACCACATCAAAGCTTCTTTCTTTATTTTTTGATATCAATTAAGGATAGTCACTAAAAAATAGAAGAAAAAAGCAGATCTAGATGTATTGGCAGATAGAAAAGCATTTATAACTTCTATGGGACCATCAATCGAGATGTAATGAAAGTTCTAATTTTAATAAAATGTTTTTATTCTGTTATATACTTTCATTGATTGATGCCCTTTAAGGATGTATTTATGTAATTCATATATAATCCTTTCTAGCAAAATGCAATCACTCTGTAAGTGATCTATTATAAATAGTCAAAGCGCTTTTTCTCTTAAGAGTAAATGCTTATAGGATGTCATAAAACATTTCTAATTTATAGTAGTTTCAAATAAAATTTTAAGTTGAAAAATTGCAAGAAAGAAAACGCATTTGAATCCTTATCTTGGGGTTCATTTCGCCTAACATCAACTTATCTGACCTGTTTCTGCTTGTCTAGACATATACTAGTTATTGCAAATAAGGAAAACCATGGGACCTATGTTTCTTTGGGCCTGGCTTACTTCACTTAATATAATTTTTTCCAAGTCTTTCCATTTTCTATGGGACAATGTCATTCTTTTTGATGGAGGCATAGAATTCCATTTCGTATAAATACCACATTTTCTTGATAAGGACTCAAATGTTTTTCCTTTCTTGCTATTGTTTCTAACATATTTATAAGATTTTTTTGTTGCTTTGTATGTCCCTCCCCCATGGTATAACCCCTGTTTTCACTGTATTTGATGTTGGTATAATTTGTGGAGGGAAAGGGAAAAAACAAATTGTTTAACTAGGGATACAAGTGGACCCATTGCAACAATGAGATGTACAAGATGTTATGTTGAAAACGAACCTTACAACTTTGGCATGTGCTGGGGGATGTGTGTTGGGGGAGATGGGAAGGGACGGGAAGGGAAAAACAAAGGAGGAGGCAACAATGCTTGATAAGAAATGTACTCATTACCTTGCCCATGTAATTGTAACCCTTCTGTACGGTATTTTCACGATAAAAAAAATTAAGTTGTGATACAGACAGAAGATACACTTTCACAAAGAATCTCTAAGTGCTCAGTGTCAGCTTGAAAAGGTACCCACCTAACATTAAGCGTGAAACATATTATTTAACACCTCTCATCATTTCATTAGCAGCTTAGACTTTTATATTCATGAGAAAGATAAAAATTGAAGAAAAGAGCAAGCTCCCATCCATATGGGATGTGTTCCTATGCCTGGACGAGCTTCATGGGTATATCTTTTTGATGAGCCTTAGGTCTAAGTTCTGAGCCACATCCATTCTTTCATTCCGTAATTCTGCAAGATTTTACTTAGCATGAGTTTTTCAAGTAATCATGATGTTTAATCATTAGTTATATCCACAATAAAAATGCCCTACCTGTGGTAAGTTATATCTGAACCCATACATACAT